ATTGTTTTCATTTCACATTCATGCTTCACCAGGATATAAAAGGGCCGACTATTGGAAGTGAGGACCTTCGCTATTCCATTTTACGATCTTCGAGACGAGACCTTTGGTCTGTGACACGGCGGTGTAGTTGCAACCGACTTGGATCTCAATGCTGTCAAGGTATACATCTTTTTGAATCCGACGATCCGTTGCACTCACTTTCGAAGAAGAGAGTAGCAGTCATTGCCTATGATACCCTTGGACGAGCTTCATCCCCTTGCTCAACATTCTACATTCATAGGGTACAGTCACAGGAACCAATGACGACCTGTCGCCCGTTGTCGAGGAATGCTACTGCATTCGTGTGCCCTTGAATTGTCTGCGTCAACGCCGGGTGGCCTCCCAAAATGAGATTTGCATCTCTTGCTGTATCAGGCACCCCTGGCACTGTTGTGTTGACCTGGTAAACAGAGCGATAGACAGTCGGTAGAGCTTGACGTTGGCGATGATAGTACGTTTTGGACATTATTGCGTTGTGGATACTGTGTGTGGTGAATAGCGCTGACTTTCTGCTCATAACCTAACTGTTCCAATACATGTGGCGCTTGTCCTATGTCAACAGTTATCGGGTCCGCGCTTTTCCGGTGACCACGGATCTGTGCGGGTGGCCATATGCACCAGCTGGGAGTTAATCTTCGTGAGCGTTGATTAGCGATGATCTCCTCGCTCGAGAAGAAGCTCAGCTTAAAACGTTAATCGGTACGGTAGTGACATGGCCCGCTGACCGCTAAGCGCTCAAATTATTACATCCCATTACACAAACATGTGCCAATCACCCGAATCGCGTTAGATTACACCCAGTTCCTGTCCTTCCTTTCCCATGCACCATCCACATCTTCCGCACTGGCACCAATAGCCAATGTATACATTTGTTGCTTCATCAATTGGGCAGCTGCTGAACCAGATAGAATATAACCAAGCGTGGAGCGTACGTACTGTGGAGAAATTGACATGTCTTCGGCTATATATATGGTAAGTAGCATCAAGCGAACTAACTCGAAAAAAGCATGTGTCTGATACCATAATGCACTGGCAGTGCAGTCACTTCTGCAGCCACAACCCTTTCCTATCTGCACATTGTTTCACTACCCATGGTAGGGCAGCATGTGCTTTGCCGTGACATGGAAAAGGCCGACGGTTTTCAATGAGGACATTCACCATTATATTTTCCAGGGAGCAGGTGTTTTACAAACCGATATATGTGCTTTCAGCACGTCGAGATCTAGCAGACAATCTGTTGTACTCACTTTCCAAAAAGAGAACATCAGTCATCGCCTATCCGGGTTATATCACTTGGATGAGCTCTACTTGGGTTTATTGACCCTCGATGCTTTATTCATCAAAGTTGTGATCTATTCTCTGTTTCAGAGCAACACTCAAGTCGTAGAGTTGCTCCAGGGTCCCGAAAAGGGGGTCTCACGAAATCGGTAATGCGGATACTCGTCTTATCGCCCGATCATGATATCGCTACTTTTTCGCCGGTTGGTTGGTGCCTTCCACACTGGCGTGGGTCAATATCTCCTTAGAATCACATCCGTGCTTCTGCTCTTCTATGTCATTTTGTCGTAGATCATCAATCTTCAGCTGTCTCACTCTGGTGGCTGTTCTGGATTATCCAGGTATTATATACCCCAAGGGGACGCAAGGCTTTGCGCCTCTACGAATGGAGAAAATAACAAATTTCAGCACGCATTCAGTTTGGTGGTGCTCGAATATAATGGTAATTCTTTTAAGATCTGTGGAAAATTTCAGGCAAGAGCCCCCATTTGTGTTGGTCATCGCGCCCAAAAATTCAGTGCTGATCGGATCAAGGGTGTAATGCCAAGTCAGAAGTTTAATCTGGTCTACGGGTTGTTTGCGAACAGCCCCTATATCCATGTGACATGTGTTAACTAGGCGTGAGCCCAAGCTAATAGACCGATACAGCACTCAGAGTCCTTGTTAAACAGCTACAGTACCAACCATAAGAAACTCTGGCGATAAAGAAACATAATAGGACATGCATAAAAGTGATCAAGGTTTAGATCGGAGGGACTGTCAGCGTATCCGAAAGATTCGACATATAAGGTTACGCTCGGTCCTCCACTGAGAATACTGGAAGGTCCCGAGACAGGGAAACGAAGTGCATGACGGACTGCACGTGCTATACCCTGCGATCCGCAAACTAATGCCATACCAGTAAGTTACGTTCTTAAAGATCGGGGGAATTAGTACTTACCGCTCACCGACATACTTCCCGATGCCATGCTGACCTCTTCTTTGAGCAGGGCATCCAGGTCTGCTCGTCCACTCTCCATTTTGACCCCATGTAATGAAAATAGCATTGACGACGATACAGATACCTTCCTTGTCAGAACTTGTTCGGGAGTGCCGTTCTTCTCTGTTGGATTTGAAAGGCTGAAATCTTCTTCCATGTACTGTGACGTTGATGGAGAACCAGTGTCAAAGATACGGATGGACACTGTCAAAGAAGGCGGAGCAAGCTGAACAGCCTTGATCAGTGCTTCTTCAATCCATTGAACACACCCTATAAAATATGACGTTAGTATTGTTCTATGGATGAGCCATGAATCTACGCACCAGCCCCGCGTATGGACCAAATGAACACTACCACCGTTTGCAGGAGCTTTTTCCCCTTGCGCACGCACCTATGGGAATAATTAGGCATCAATGATAACAAGCAAACTAATCCACGTGCTCGATAACGTTCAGGAATACCGGGAGGGTATACGATAATACCAGATCCTCCTGGTTCGATAAGTACTGTGTCATTACGAGACAACGCACAGCTCACCTGCCACAAATACCGATGTGTCGTAGGAAACCGAGGTCAGAAGACGGGCCATAAGGACCATCCACAAAAACCTTAACTTTGCCCTTCGTTCCGGCTACCTCCTTTAGCTTTTTCGTAAACCCTCCGTGCACATTGACCAAAAAACACTAGCTCTTCCAGAACGGAGCGCTCGATCCCAGAACCTGAGTTCCGTTGTTTTTCATTACCGCTTCCCGATTGATCCTCTGGTCTTGCGGTTGACAGGAGACTAGAATCGAAACTCACAATAGTAAAAGGGTGCGCTTCGAATGGCAGTGTCGAAACTGAGGGCATGATTAGATATGCCGTTTGTCCTGGGGACCAGTGGAAATGCGGGGGGTCGACGTAGGCGCAATCGAACGATATTTCGGAAAGCATTCCGTCGTTGCATCCATTGTCCCAGCTCCTGACTTGAAGCCAAAATAAGAGTGATTGAATACAACAAGTCTAACCACCCGGACGAAGCGATCGAAAGCCCAGAAGACAAACGAGGGCCATATCCAGTACGACCCGCTAAGTGCTGCCAGTCAGAAATGAGGCTATCTGCGTTAATTTGCACTTACTGAGCAACCTTGGTGTGGTAATATCCTCCCACAAGAAATATCCTGCGTTCTATCTATCAACAGCAGTACAAGCGAGCAGAAGTCCTACACTCACAGGACGCCAAGGAAATGAACGTAAAAGAAAACCTCGTACACTTCACTGCGAACGGGGACGCAGTGATACTATGATCAGAATAGAGAAGGCAACCATGGCGACGATACCGACGCGGAGCCAGTCCTCGTTCAAAGTCTCCCGGAAGCTTTCGGTAACTCAATTAGAACAGCACAAGCATGAATTGGAGGTACGTACTAGGGAAAACATACAACTTCACCCGCCGCATGTACCCAAAGGAGCATGAAGCATGTCCTAGCCATCATTCGATGAATATAATTGAGCTTCATGTCCATCAGTAAGTCCCCCGCGAGAGTAATCAAGCGCCGTACCCTATCGTAGCTGATGCCTGTGACCACTGATGCGAAAAACTCAGCGACACATCAGATTCAGAGCTTTCCACCTACAAGACACGATATTGTTCTTTGTACCAAGGGCCGTGATAATGGGAAACTGACTGGACGCCAGCATCGCTATGCGGTTGCTCCAGTAGATGATATCAAGCTTCTGACCCTCGACTGACGTTGCTGCGTGATTTAGTGGTTAATGCGGTGGGAGTGGGACCGTACACAATCATGTGAGCTTACTGTTGATGAAGGCGTAGATCAACAAAAGGGCGATATATGCCACAGTCACAAAAACCTCTGCCATGTTAAGGTATAAGATTGTCCTATTTCTAGGGTCCACCGGAAGGCAACAACGCGATAGAAATTTATGATTGCGAGTGGGATGCGACGGAGAGAAATTTGTATTGAATGCCATTGGTGGTGGCCGTTTTCCTCGTCGGACTCGTAGCGTCTGCGCCTGGCGAATTTGGAGTGAACGAGTGACCCCCACTGGAAGCAGCCGACTACGAAGAGAAACGCAGCGATAGTATACCACACTTGTTCAGGGTAAGTTTCATCTTCGTACACGAGCGCGGTTATATCAGCTTCGGATAAATCAGAAGACATCCTAAGTGGCAAGGAAGGGGTCTGGATTCAGGCAGAAGAAGAGGCAAGAGCAGACTAAATATGAGGACTCTAGTGGTGCGACTTTGCATACCCGAATAATCATCCTAAGGCATTGCGAATTCATGTGGGGATCAATTCTCATGATTACATCACCGGGATATTCGTTTTGTTCAAAGATGATGGCCGTTGAACCTCGGAGAAATTTCTTAACCAAGGGATTACCAAATGAGCGCCAAGAGGATATCAGGGTTTGATCTTACCTCAGCCTATCCGAAAAACGGTCTGCGGAACCGAAGAATTTCAGCAGAATGAGTGGGTGAGATAACTATTAAAAATCTTATCTAGGTACTACTGCGATAAGGGAAGTTCGCCACATTCAACTTGCGTTCAAGTGCGAGGTCATGCGGTTACAGTAAGTAATACCATTGTAGAACACGAGTTATGCATACTTGCCTGGGACCGCCGACACTATGATAAAGTATGCGAATCGAACCACTTCGCTGAAGTAGCCGGTGAACCTGGAAAGTCCTTGAATTGAGCAACACCTTCTAACATAGCACCTACTTATTAATGATGTGGTGCTAAATGATGATTTGAAAGCGGGAGTGATCAATGGATTCAAGGATGCAGCCTGTTCGATGACATTTGGTCACGACTCCATTCTATGCCTGAGCTCACTGGTGTCAGAATTATACGTGCGTTGTCAATCTGAAGTGTCGCGAATCGTGACATGACATTGATCAGAAATTGAAATGGATCGAAAGCGTTCACGACATGAAGGACGTAGCTTATGTCAGCGGATATAGCAGGTATGAGTCCGATTCGAATACGGCAAAAGTGACTTATTCTCTTACAGATCTGAATCGAGGTTTATTCAAGGGTATAAAACCTTGTTGAATTTCAAGCGACGTCCAGCATCGCGGGACACCTTTCTGAAGGATAAAATCATCACCTTGTACCCAAGGTCAATATCAGCCCGTGATTAAGTATGGCTGTATCGTAGTTCTAGCGTTGTTGGCAGAACTCGGGAGTTTTACCAACTGGTCTGGCAAAACTGGCTGTGCCTGGCCCACGTGGGCAGAACTCACGCGAAGGGTATCCAAAACTCGCGGAGATGTAATTTAGATCTGATAGCACCACAGTACTGACTAGTTTGAATTCAATAGAACATGAAAACCAATGTCCCTAAAGGAAGATGACCCACGCTGGAGGACGCCCCCTTGCATCACTGATCAATGAAAATTCCGACATTGCTGTCAAGACTGCACAGGATCTTGAAGCATTCTTCGCGTGGGCACCTCCGCGGCTCTCGACCGACTCGGAGCCTCGTGATGCAGAGGTTTTTGCTGGTCCAGAGAGTATCTCGCCTGACGATGTTGCTGCTGAATTTACAACTCTCAAAGAGTTGAGGAGGACCGATGGACTTTTTGTGGTTTGGAGAACAGTCTTCAACTTGAAGATACTGGGACCGATCTGCTCGGTAGAAGAGAACTACTGTAGGAGCCAGGAACTCCTGAACAATTCATCTTCATGTGTCCCAAGCACGGGCCGTTTGCGAGGGCACTAGATTCGGACGAAGGCGAACTTGGTCGTAAGCGCTGAATTGCGATACCAGCCTGAGTGGGCGGCCCGACAAACATGGAGTTGACCGATCGTTGGAGCTCAAGATGTTATTCTGCTCGGTGCAGCAAGTACCGCTCCAGGCTCAGCAAGCTGCAATACCCTGCATCATGATGGCCGCCTCCTCACGCCGCGATAGCCTCGACTCCCTGTATGACACAGCACGCAGTGCAGTCTTTCTTGAATGCTAAACGACCTCAGAAAAGGTGATCTGATTAGGGCGCATGGTGGCTCTTATCCAGGGTTCTTGTTGTAGTATTACCATGCTGTTCCCGTGTGCATCTCATTTCGCTTCCTCCATCATGACCGCCGCATGTTGCACCGAAGATGCGCGTCTCGAGTGGCGATCAATGCATTTTACCGGTGTGCTGATTTGCCTCCTCGTCCGCACGATAACGATCGAAGTTACCAAGCTTTTATCAACATCAACATCGTCTGCGCTGGACCTCGATTCTGTGTTGACAGTTTTCGCCCCGCTTGTCTCGAAAAGAGGATTTGTTCGACTCCCGGAACCGTTAGCAGCGAATGTACTTGTAAGCCAGGCTTACCACGCGACTGACGTCACTTGTTTCCTGCTTGCTGATTGGACACCGCGTACTATTTGTTCTATGTTTGGATCAACGACTCTGATCAGTATAATATCATAGCTCATCACATACGTACTCGCATCTTATCTCTTTACCGTATCCTTAATCATACGCTCTTCCACGCTACTACTTGTCTCTCTGAGTGTTGCCGTCGACGGGGGCATTACAGTACTCAATTGGATGAAAGCATACCTTGAAGATATACTATACAGTCACCGTGACCCACTAGTTCAAAAACCGTCGTCGCTCTTGATGATTCTAGGGTCTTCGTCTCAGGTTGGTGCACAACTCCGTTTTGGCGCGTATGATTTGTTACAAGTTAACATATGATCCAATACAAATACCCAGAAGAGTAGTTTCACGCAGGTGCCCTTGAAAACATGTCGAAACTGCAATATCTCCAGTGTCGTGAAGTCCATCATGAGTTGATCTTCGAGGGCCAGACGCTGATGTTGGCAGGTCCATTAGAAAATTAATGTTAAAAGTTTTTAGCTTGAGATCGAAAAAGTGTAAGACAATAGATATGGATGGGCATCTCGGTACCAACTACGAGTCCATGTAAATACGAAATGGTACCAAAAAAGCTTGAGGATCCATCCGAAATGCACGAGAGCCTTGCAATAAGATGTAGGTAAGTCAGAACGAAAGCAAGAGTGAGTACAATAGTTTCACAACGTCTCTCCTATGATACATCGACATCCGGCAGAAACCAAATAGACCTCAGAAAACCCGCGGCTCGTCCCACGCCAGTGAGTCGTTTGCCTGATCTTCTTGATCAGATCCTTTTGGTCGATAGCGACCTTCGCCAGCATCATGATCATGAAGTCCCTCTGGTTGGAGCTGAACAAGAGGTTGTTGGCCAGGTGCCAAGGAATGAGGGTGCGGAGGAGTCTGCAGACGCGAAGGGGATGGGGACCAATCACGCGAGGGGTGTGAGTAAGCTAATTTAGGAACAGCAGGCTCAGGGCTCAGGGAGCGTGAGCTCGACGGCGCGACAAATGGTGCTTGGCTGCTTATTTCTCCTGATGGATATTGATATAGTGAGGGTGGTATGGGTGAGGGCAGGGGGATATCGGATGCCGAGTAGTAAGAGGTATTGGGTGAGACAGCATCCTCCGCGTGGTGAGGATTTGGTAACGCGGCCTGAGGGACCAGCTCGATAGCATCTGCGCGGTTATCGTCAGGATTCTTGCTATCAGAATCTGCGGGGGATCTTGGAACTGTCGGTTCGTAACCTTGCTGCAGAACTAGTTCCGACGCTGAACGAGCATGAGGTTCGCGGAACATGGGTGCAGTCTCAAGGTCAACATGTTTGTTCTTCGATTCCTTGCGATGGCGGATTCCCAGACGATCCTTGAGATCCCCTCCTACCCACATCTCGCGAATAATGTCTTTATCCAAGGGCATATACGTCGACTTAAAGAACTTGATGAGGAACCGAGGCGCTAATCGATTACTAGTTAGGACGAGTCTACAGGGACACCATTTCGACTCACCCAGTGCCACCAAAACGGAGAAAACAATTGTCGCCCAAAACGTGACATTGGAGAAGAGAATATCTACCTCGTCTATAAATCCATCTGTATTAGAGAAGAAGGTGTTGACCGGAAAGAACGAATAGATCACGATCCAAAGGATCATGACAAGAGATGATCCGATGCCGACGACCCAGGTGATAGAGGTCCAGCTAAGATAAACAACATTTAGCGTTATCAAACCACCACGACAAAGCAGACGTACTAGTGGGTGTTCATCCCGACATATGTATTCGCTGCAAAGATAGCAGCAACCGCAACGGTTGTCCCGAAGTCCGCTAGAGAGTCAATCCCTTTGCCATTGGACGACACGGCCAGTCCAAGCTGCCAGACCAAATAAGGAATGAAGAAGACCACCGCAGACTGGTAAAGACCATCGAGCATGTAGAACCAGAACTTCGTGCGCGTGTACTCCAAGCCTCTGATGCCACGAACATAGAGCTGAGGGAAAGCAAGGGCAGCTTTTGCATTGATATCTTGATCGAATGCTGAAACAAACGGTTGAGTGGGACCCAGTAACCAATAAACAAAGGCTCACATCCGAGAACAATGACAGGCAGTGAGGTAAAGATGAGATTGTAAAATAAAATGAAGCTGTAGTCATATAAATAGGTTGCGTCGAAGCTTTCAAAAGTATTGTTAATTAGTGCATACAAACCAAAGAACGAAACTCACTAGCAAAACGGCATAAACCAAAACATGGCTAACGTCCAGATGACATTCTGAAGCGACGAATTAACAGCAGGCACAATCAAACAAAATCGCACAACAAACCTTGTAGAAGAAATTACTGTGCATATCAGCAATACGCTGGTACGACCACCTCCCATGGACGAGTAGCAACTTCGTCAAAAACCTGAATTGACCAAAGGCATAATCGGCAGACATAGCAGCTTGTGAACCTTCGTGTCCAAGCAGACCACAACCAACATTGGCTTCTTGAATCATTGCGACGTCATTAGCACCATCTCCTATGGACAACGTCATTGCCTTCCGACCCTCCTTGACCTTGACACCGAACTCAAGGTCAGTAGAGTACCTCAGGAAGTGACAGTATACTCACCAGCTTCACGGTCAACGCCTTCTGGGCAGGGGAGACACGACAACATACGACTGTTTCGCATTGGGTACCAAGGTTCAGGAACAAAGGCTTGATATCCGGCGTCAACGCGTGACGTAGGGTGTCACCATCAATAACGACCGCAAAGGAAACCTGAGCACCAGAGACAAACCCGCGTTCCATTGTTTTCGAAGTAGGCGGGCCCAACATCGACGCAATCTTGTTGAGACCCGCTTCTATCTGAGCAAGAGTGCCTTCCGGGCTGTCAGCAGACAGGATCATGATTTCCATATCTTGTTTCAGAAGGTTGCAGCTGAAACCTGGGGAACGATAAGATCCAGTTGTGGCGACATGAAGAGCCCCACTCACCAATCTCGATTGCGGTCTGCAGCTTGTCGCCTGTGAGAATCCAAAGCTTGATTCCAGCGCGATGGAGCATTTCAATGGCTTCCGGTACTCCTTCTTGTAGCTTATCCTCAAGAGCTGTAGCGCCCAGTATCTGCAACGAGTGTTCCACCTCGGCCGCTGCATTTTCAATGGCCTCGTCGCGGTCGTCGATAGTCGACTGAGCAGCTTCATACGTCCGCAGCCACCTCAAGAACTCATCCTCCGCGAGCACCCTATAACCAATGCAGAGCGTGCGCAAACCACCATTGGCAAAAAAGTCCATGTCCTTGGTTGTCTTCTCCTTCAAAGCAGGGTCCACATCCGCAGCAAGTCGTTCGTATATGACACTGTCGGCCCCCTTGCAGTACAAGACTATGCGTCCATCTGATGCCCGAACGATAACGCTCATGCGCTTACGTGTGCTAGTGAACTCGAGCGTCTTCAAATGCGTGAACCGCTCAGGTTGGCCAAGCACTTCAATGTCAATCGTGTCCTTGTGCTTGCCGACAAAAGGAAAGCCCACATCCCGCGCAGCAGCAACCAACGCTGCCTCATCGGGGGACTCAGCCTTATACTCCAAGCGGTAAGGGCGCTCCTGCGGCTCGGGCCTATCCGCCAACACTGAGTGGCACACGGCCAAGGCACGGAAAAACGCGACGATGTGGAAATATTGTTCCGTCGAGCGGTCTGCGAGGTCCTCTGCGAGCTTGGGTGACACTAGCGTAAGTTTGTCAACCTGCATGTAGCGGTTCTTGAATAGCTTGGTCAGCTTGGTGACCATGGTGTCCTTAAGCACTGCAAGCTTTTCTGCTAGCTCTTCTGGTGCTACTGCATCAGCCCGGCCTTCTCTCGTTGCAGCTCCGCGCTGCGCTTCAGTAACTCCCTCTCCATATATGACCCCGCGCACCGAGCATTTTTGGAACTCCATCACGTTTTGTGTCAGCGTTCCGGTCTTGTCGGAAAATATATATTCGATTTGTCCGAGATCGTCAGAGATACCCCAGTTCTTTGGGACGCAGGCGGTGTTGAAGGGCTTGTAGTACATGTCCAAATCTTGAGCAATGAAGTAGGCTTGGATGGTCTTCACGATCTCGATAGAGATGAACAGGGAGACTGGCACGATGTTCTGAAACGCGATGAGACACGATCTGAAAGAATATTAGCGAGCGTTCAGGTGACGTTACAAGGACATACACGAAAGTAACGAGTGCGTTGAGTACATTGGAACTAGTCGGTTGGACGCCTTGCTCATATATATATGTGCTTGTGGCTGTTAGCCCATCCATGACGCCGTTGATGGTCGCTGATATCGAACAGATGATGACCAAGAACACGAAATTCACTATGACATTGAAGTTTGTCTCCTTCGCAATCTTCGATTGCTTGGACGGGGTCTGTCCACCGTTCAAGTATATCTTGGTGTCCTGGCCAGTGAAGACGACTAGTCCGATGATCCATGCGGTGTTCCGCACGGTGCAGCCGCGAAGGAGCAGCTCGTTGATAGTGACACCCTCTCTACGAGGTTCGCGCGTGGCAGCGTCTGTATATCGGAGGACCCCATTGTATAGATACAAGTTCTGGTGCGGAGGTTCTGAATCGAGGACAAACGAGGATTTTTCGATGTCTTCTTCTGAGCTGAGGGATGCCGTAGCCTGTATTGCCTTCCGTACCTTGAGATTTGTTTCGCCGTCAAGATTCTTGGTTTCAAGATAGCACAGTCCGTCTGCATCAGATGTCGACAATACGACGATATCTGCAGGAACCTGCTCATCTTCCCGTAGAAGCACAATGTCGCCGACATCCAGCTTCTTCCACAACGTCCTCTCCCAGCGGGCTGTCCCGTTTGTCCGCCTGCTCCAATCTACCACGCCCAGAGATGACCGTGAAGGAGATGACTGCATATAGTTTGATAGGGACATACTGTGCTGGTCCCATCCTCTGAGCTCGTTTTCTGGGAGCCCTGGAGGGTAGGTATGCAAATCCGTGCTGCCCGTACTGCTTTCAATATCCTCCAGTTGCCGGCCACCTGCCCCTGTAGGGGGGTGAGATCCGCCCAGGGGTGCAATGCTATCGTTCATGTCTGCGGTGCTCATGCTGACCCCATCCTCACCACCCTTGCTCAAGATGATCTGCTTTCCCTCGCCTGCTTCTTTCTCCCGTAATTTCTGCACTCCACGAGTAATTTTTCCAGGAGCATTTATGTGGAGCAGCCGTTCGTACCATGGTCGGGGATCAAGAGCCTGATTTACGTTGCGCCACTGCCCGAGTCGCGTTACTGCGGAAGTGTTCACTTCTTCATCCAGCCTGGCTCGTCTATAATCCTCGACACCGTCCTTGACTGCTGTAACGACCAAGATGAACAACAGCGGGAGAGCCGCAGTCTGTGGCGACGCTGCGCCGAAAACGGAGAAAACTGCGCAAGTTTCATTAGAAATTGTTGCTCCACAAGGCGTTGCTCCGGTTAACCGCATGAGGTGCACTTACATTGAAAAATGACGAGCGCTAAAAAGTAAATATTGGCAATTCTAGGGGCAATCAATGAGGTTACTATGTCATCGACAGTAACACGTACCGATGAAATTGTTCAAACAAGTTCTTTGGCAGAAAAGTCAACAGTGTGTATCCTATGAGCAAAATTACACTCAAAAGCGGGACTGAAATCGAAATATGAAACATACTGCTTGTGCGAACTTTGTTCCGTGCATACCGGGCGAGCGGTTCGCCATGCTGGTCTGACTCCATGGCAGAGAGTGGTTGATTAACGTATATGTTCCTCCGCACGCCTGGAATGCGCGATTGCGGGGCTGAGGGGGCCTCAGCTGATTGGACCGTTGATGGGCCTGGTTCTGAAGTCTTTGGTTTCTTTGCATTCTTGCGAAAAAACAAGGATCTCTTCTGGGTGATACTCCGCCTCTTGTGCGCTTTAATTTCTGAGCGTATGGATTCTGAAAGAGTAGAAGCTGCTGTGCGCACTGTGCGGAGACGGAGTTGTGGGTCTATGGTATCATTCTCGTCAATGTCGGAGGGCGGCGGATGCCGCTTGAATAAAGACATTGAGATGGTGAATTAGTGACCAAGGGTATCGTGAAAGGATCCTAGGACCGAGAACCAGCACGGCAGGAGAGAAATTTGGGAAATGAACGAAAGGTGGAAAGACGGCTGATTAGTAGCTTGTATCGTTCGCAGCAAGCAGAGCTATGCGGTGCCGCCGTTCACACCAATTTTGGCCTGGTATGTAATCAGGACCCCAATCACCTCCAATATAAACCGAACAGGTGAGATTTGGAATAAACACGTTGTTAGCAGTGAAGCGGAGAGTTCAAAAGTCGTCGACAACCTTCGCCAACGTAGGTCCCACGAGCTCCTCAATTCGATTGTTTTGGCAAGTACGGTACTACTGTCGTGACGGCCCTCAACGCGGTTGTAACGTGTTCATCAACATCCGCAAGGGTTTCCAATCGCAGTGGTTATTTTCAGCACACGTTGATACACGCAGGCAACCTGACGTACTGTGCACTGCGGCCCGGGATGTAATAGTGTTTACCATTCACCCGGCATGCTGATACAAGCATGGCCTAGTCAAGGCTGAGTGGCCCATTAATGGGGTGTTTTCAATCAACGTCTACTAATGTTTTCTTCTAGTTTAATGTGCAATCTTTACGCTATATGGTTGGCGGAAGGTACAACATGGCCCTCGCTGCTTCTCGATAGTGCGGACGGTGAGTACTGAACAACAGGCTTCTTCGTGGGTGCATAGCGATAACTTCACCTACAGCTATTGATATATTGATAGCCTATTGAAACCCCGCAGTCTCTCATGAAATGGCCTTCATTAATGGTTCTCTGGACTGTTGACTACTCGCAACTTTAACATCAAGGTTCTCTCTCGTAAAGTCGTCTCCAGGTCCTCCTTGTCACTGGTTCCTCAAGTGGGAACATGCTTCCCCAAAGTGGATGCTCAATTTTCCGTGCGTCCTACTAGGCCAAGTGAAATTGACGCGGCATTAGTACTGTCACATATCCTAGGGTACAGGTCATGTTCAGACGCCATCTTATGTCGTCGAAATGAATTCCAAACACTTTGAACCCTCGTTAATGATCCAACATGAATATCCATCTGCGTACAGGCCCTGGAGTGTTGCATTCACTTCTCACCATATTTACAATGCTTGCCCTCCGCATCCGTGTTACTCGGGTTTGTCTCTAATCATTGATACTATAACGTTGGTTTTCAGATGCAGTGTGAAGTATTGTGTCAAGCCTTAATCCTACCTGGTCAAGTTCGATGCAATCCCTGTACAGACTATACTACCATGTTAGACCACTCACCTCACGGTTCCATCCCCTAGAGAACAACTCAAGGTGAGATTCAGGGTTGTGTTCTGCGAAAACTCATACTTATATGTGGCATCTCCGGCCCTCTCCGGTAAGGACCAGTTTTCACTGGGACTGAGGTGTCAACGGGAGGCGCGACGATGTAAGTACCATAAGGCGCAGAAGTATGGTGTCGATGGTGATCAAGATAACGAGACAGTGTAAGAAACGAAACGAAACGAAACGAAACTAACACAAGCTAACACGCTAAAAGAACTGTCAGCCTATCGAGGACATGAATTACCTTGCGAAAGCATGTTTCAAGGTCAACTCGAGTCCGTCATCAACGATGTCCGCCTCTTCACGTAATCTGCATAACACGGACATTGCTCATTTTCTTCCGAATAAACAACAACATGCCCCTTTGACTACAGGGTATTTGGCCCACTTGCTATACCTCGCCATTTGTTTTACAAGTCAAGTACAAGTGTGTTCAGATATGCCACATTCGGCTGACGACCTGTTTCCTGAAGAACCACTCACTCTATCTGGAGAACAGGGTTCTGTATTTTTTCCCGCTCGCCTTGGGATGCAGCTCAACAACTCGCTATACAATTCTCAGGAAGCTGGGGAGAGGGAAACTTTACTCTACTTGGTTGGCTTCAGATTCTTCATATGTATCACCGAGCGCTGAATTCTCACGTTCGTTCCATCAGTGGAGGAGATGCTAAGATACTGTGCCATCAAAATTCTCACCGTTCATGATACCAAACCTCATCATGATGGTTGTCTGCTCGAGTTGCAACTCATGCAAACTATCGCACAATCGACCAGGATATCCTTTCTACCTCGCCTTCGTGACCACTGTGAGATAAATGGACCTCATGGTAGACATCTCTGCCTCGTTCTCCCTGCTCTTTGTGAAAGCGTGAATAGCTTTAGGTATTCGGCGCCTCGAAATCGCTGGACCCGGTGAAAGTCAAAATTATGATTGCTGAAGTCTTGGAAGCCTTGACTCTACTGCATGCCACAAATATCATACACACAGGTCGGAAAACACCAACGCATAGGTATCATACTAACATTAAATATTCATCTTTTTTCTGAAACAGATCTCAAGCCGGACAACGTGCTGTTTGACGAGGGGAACGTCACGCAGATTATTCAGGAGCTTCTCGTCCAGGCTCATCAGATCGTCAACGGTGAATTTGAATTGAATGGCGCGCATCATCCCATCATGCGATCGCAGCCTATTGCTCATCCTCTTCGATGGAACGACTGCGGTATCATGATAGAATTGTACACGGCTTATGTGACGGATTTCAGAAATGGCAAGCGTTATCTTTGTATCTCCTATCAATCATCGGCTCATATATAATGTCTCCTTGCAGCGCAATGGACCAATGGAAAACCTCCGACGAGAACCACAAGTTCATATGACTTGCATGCTCCAGAACATATCCTCGAGGCCAACTATGGTGCCAAGGTGGATGTGTGGGCGCTCGGCTGCATGGTATGTTCGTTTTTCTGACAGTCATGTTCATATAGGTCTTATATGTATGTGTTTCATGTAGACTTTCGAGCTTCTCACCGGAAGTTCGCTGTTCCTTTCACAATGAGACCAACCTTGGAGTATTGAGGATGACCATTTGGCCGAGAGGCGCAGCTGACAGGGGAATGTTTCTCTGAAAAGCTCCTCACGAGGTCTCCGAAGCATAATGAGGGTTTTGCTGAGAGCGGTCAGTGCACCTTTCCTTATGGCGCCCGCTTCATTTCCATTGAAAATGGTTTGCTCATCTCAGGCTAGGTACTGCGCGTCGATCAATCAATGATAGATTGCAGTTTACCGGAATCAGAAGCCGCTGCCGCGTTCATCCATGCGTGCTTGTACTTGGATCCAGAAGAACGATTTTCGGCCCATAACTTGTGCCTACATCCATGGATGGAGTCTGCACATATATGCTGCTAGGGACCTGACCGGGGCCAGGTTTAGGTGATTTTTCGTCTGTAATGTCAGTGTTTCTGGCTGTTATTTCCGTACATCACGCTACTTGTCTTTATATGTTTTTCATGACGCCTTCCTCGACTGAATGTGCGTACTGAGCCGAGCTTCGGTGGTCTATTACCCGTTCTATCAAGTGCATTTCTTTGAAACACCACACAAGAACTCAAAAATATCCGTATCTTCAGGGGCGAGTAACAGTTTTTTATTTATGCATGTAAGTGGTTACGTCAGTACTTCAGTGCCGCGTCAATGCTGTGTCACACCACGTCCCAGGCGCGTCACAACTGCGGCAGGACCGCGTCAAAGATTCAACGCCCCTCCCACATTTTCCGTCCCCATCCTCCGCCTGATGCGCAGAAGAAGAATGAGACCCAAAACTCGCACGCCCCAGTAAAACACTACCCGAAGCAGTCCGTGAACATTACCGCACGGTGCAGATACTCAAGAGCACCTCCACCCGGCTTCGATAGATGGTACGTTCCCCTCCTCCCTTTAAACCCTCTTTCCGACAGATGTCCTCCTCACCGACCCTTCATCTCCCGACGGCATCATATCACAGACCCTCGGAAAATTAATTGTGAAACCTGCAATGATGGATATAACGTTTGCTGGGTCAGTGTGTGGAGGTGTGTAAGGAGGTGGAGGAAGGGTGGGAATGGAGGTGAAGGATGGCGTTAGGGAGGCTGAGACCTTGTTATGAGCTGTCTTTTTTCCTTTCCTTGTCGTTGCGTTGCTAGGTGTGGGTTTTACGCATTAGCAGGTGGACGGGAACGGCGGGTCCAGTCGGTTCAAGAGGCTCATAACGAGTAATTCAATTGTGTTCAAGTCTACGTTGTATCCTGAATGGTGAGTCTCCTTTCCTTTCTTCTCGTGTTTTAATATTTTTCTTTCTTTCCACCCATCCACCCAACAGAATCCCCCAACCCAATCCAAAGTCAACGATCCCCAGACGAAAAGGTTCACCCACCGGCTCGCCCACTAGATGCACTACACCTCCAAGTCGACTACTGACCTGTATGACGCGCTCCTCTTCTTCCGCGGGCACGGTGCACATGAAGACCTCGTGAAGTACATTACGAGGAGGGCGAAGGAGTGGAGTTTGTATTCGAGGCGGGAGCATATGGTTGCTTATTTGTATAGGTGAGTGGGTGGGTGTGCGCGAAGAGCTGCGTTTTGTTGAATGTTGGATTCCATCTCGCGCGCGATGTTAACTTGTTCTTATTGTTACTCTTCAGGTTATTCTTCGAGTAAGGATCATGTACTCGGATCGGGATTCGCTTAATTCCGAGTTTGAATTGGTGTGTGCCTCTTACTTTCTAGATGGAACGACCCTGTTGAGGATCGTCCCAGAACATACATTGCGTGTCTCAAATAGTATATACCACATACTACGCGTGTTTTCATATTTCTCAGGTCCATGCGCGTCTTCCTTCGTGCACGCACGCACGCTCCTTACTGCACCACACGTTGTACCAAGCTCCCAGTGTTGGTCTTTGATGTACTATACGCGCTGCATGCACTCGGGTTGCGCGTTTATTCTGTGTGCGCATATTTTGTACCCGTCTATTGAGATGTGTGGATACTAATTGTATATCTGCTGATCAAGAACAAAGAACCGGGTGGTTGGTTATGAGTGATGGTGTTTGAGATCCTGGAATGGCTTTTGGGACGAGCAATCGTTTATGTTGCTGTTGATGATTAATATTAGGAGGCTGTATGAAGATGGAACGCACTGCGCAGGTTGAATCTGTTTGTCTAACGTTGGCCCCGAAGGCTAGCTCATGGATCTCTCTTGATGGAGCCAACGAGATGCCGTGTCGTCGCGTGTTGTTTTCTGCTATTACCAGATAGTCGAAGCCCACTCTAAGGTCGTACAGGAGCGCGCATTATGATGAAAGTGAAAAAGATCTTGCACAGTACTTTCTATCACAGGGTAGCGTGGGAGCTCGAGAGTGGTAGTGGATGGGGTGCGAGGGACGGTTGATAGTCACTAGTTTTTACAACGCTGTTCCTTGTCTCCGAGAAAGTACAGGGTCATCGGGGCATGCCTTGGAATAGCTTGATATTATTGTCTAAAACTTTAGAGGACTGAATGCTGGACCACAACAAGTACTAGGAATATTCGACCAAGCGCATGCCAAGAATGAGAATGAGTATCAAATACCTACGCCACAGTTGTACCAATATTCGGCATAGCGAATTGCAGGTACTACATAGAAGCCTGGGAGCAACGAGTAAGTGAGAGAAAAATGACATGAGATATCGACCGAGTCTATATCGCACGCATCGACGAGGATGAGCATCCTTCGTCGCTGCGCAGGGTCAGGTTCAACTGATGAAGCAATGAGTGAGAAATTGGGGTTGACACAATAGTCATAGTCAATTTGATAAGCTCTTGCAGGTTCTGCCTAGAATTGTGCCGTCTGACAGCAAGGCGATTCTGCCAAATCGATCAGAATCGCGCCTATAAGTATGTGCAGGATATAAGACCTAGCCGTCGTGAGAAAAATGATGTGAGATATCGATCGAGTACATATCGGAAGCATTGACGAGAATAAGCAATCAACCTCTCAACCTTATCGCTGTGCAAGGTCACTGGAGATTCAAATGAGGGCGAAAGATTGGGATGAGAGACTGAGGATTCGAGCGAGCGTTCTGGGTAATGAAGAAGACGAGAATTGTCGATGCCTGCCAGCAGGTTATGATACAATGGTCATAATCAATTGAACACGATCCTGCAGGTTCTGCCGGATTTCTGCCGTCTAATAGCAGTAACAATTCTTCCATATTGTGTCCATTAGTATATACAGGATATAAAAGCTGGTCGTCGTCTTACAGTGTTCCCGCATCCTCAGAGATATTATTCGGGGTCACCCTCAGAAAATTCCATATCACCTTGCACAGAAATGCGTTCTCCCCCCTTGCCGTTATTGCTTTGACAACATATATGTCCGTCAGTGCATGCCAGACTGAGACACAACCTTGCAAAATAGATAAAGATTGCTGCCAAAACTTGTACAAGATGCATTGTAGACCTGATGGCGTGAGTATGAGCAGGTCGCTGTGTAACCAGGATTCAATCACATAACTCAAGAATGGAGGTTTCACCTGCCAGTCGAGGCCGTTTGAAAATTGATATTGAGCCGGCAGCCTGAGGGGCGCGTCGCGAATGTGAGTCATGTTTCTGCTTTTGCTTTGGTATCATGGACCATGAATGGTTGATGGTGTAATGCCTAGTTCGAAGTCGACCAGCACATTTTCTTTTGCTTAAATTTTCGTACTGCTCGAGCAATGTGGATGTTTCAACTTATATGAAAATGATCGATCCACCGTCGTCGTCGAGTCCTGGTGTTGTTGGCAAAACTGGTTGCGCCCGGTCCTCGGCGAAACTCACGCGAATGGAGGGTGGCAAAACTTGGCAGAAGTGCAACTTGATCTAGGAGTCGAATATTGTAGAACATAGGAACGCTTGTGGCACTAGGGTCCAGCACGTCAGTGCGTCGATGCCGCGTCACATGTGAGTACGTGAGTCACGCTACGTCACAGGCCCGTCACGACTGCACCGCGTCATGACTCAAAACCGCTACACAGTACCCCGTCCTACTTAGTACTATTGTCAGTTCTTCTTGTGCAGCGGGTATTCATCAAAAAGTCAGGCTATTATGGAGAAGGAAATTCGTTGTCTGTCGATACCAAACAGACCTATTCTTGCAGCCCACAACATCATTATCGACATCTAAATAGGATGAATTGGCTTTATGCGGAGGGACAAGTTAATCTCCCCTAGTCGGACCATAACAGAAGGAAGACAGTCGTTGCTTCTATGTGGGACAGGTGGACCAGCAACAGTAAGTATCCAGCTTCATACGTACAAGATCAATGGCTATGCCTAGGGTTTTGACATCCGTGTTACGGTTCTTCACATAGAGGTTTATCAGTGACGGCAGTCGAGTTTCATTTCAGCCCCTTTTTTGGATGTAGATGACAAGATCCACTCACTACGCCACTGCGAACATAGTATCAATTCGGTATATCATCCCAGAGAACCCAATGATAGAAAAACATATGTGTGCGTATTCCCTCCATCAGGTTTGACGTGATCGCACATTCGCTGGATTCCCATAGGAGTTTTGGCCGGATGCAATGATGGATTGATACACAGCTGTTGGTGGAGGACATCAGAAATGGCTGATGTGCATACATAGAATCTGTCCAGATCGCGAACTGGTCCGCGTTCAGGTCAAAAGTCTACTCCAGGCAGAACTACCGTTCGTCCGCTCAACTTGATGCCTACGTCCCATATTTTGATTCACAGATACAAACATCAGTTCATATTGCCACGTTGATGCACTCAAACACCAATACTCATCGATGATACATGCAATACTGCATTAAGACAGAAGCTGTAAGTAATGCTGCCGATATCACTGGGTACATCGCACTTCACTGGTTACTGGCCGCCGCAAGGATGAACAAATTCGAAGTTCGAACCCAATTGTTGCCGCATCAGGCGATGCTCGTCATCCAGCCGGTCGGACCTGGCCTTTTGCTGACGGACCGGAAAGATCTGACCCATCTAAGTATCAATCTTTTGCATGTCATGGCGGCTGCCAAAGCTCTTTAGCAAATTTGTGGTCAGTTGATTCCAGTTGCATTTTTGGTATCGTATCAGATGGTCCTCGCTATATGTTTTGGATGATTGCAAAGTCCTACAATTGAAATACGTGGCAGAGTTCCGATAACCTGCTACAATCCGAACAAACCAAAACTGGTGCAACGTGGGTGTCAGGATATAAGCCTGGCCAAGCACCTTGGGAAAACGGCTCAAGGTACGAGTCATATAAAAAAACACAGTTGAATCCGATAATAAAGTTTCTCATAACATCAGTGTCATTAACACTATACATCGGACTGCACAGCGCTAGTGAACGAATATTCTTGTCGCGATCACCATATCATGAGGCGTATCGAATAGGTTTCTATTTTTGCCCTCTTACGTGCTGTGCTAGATTGATCTAAGAGCGCTGCATCCATGATCACGAGTCTCCAGAATCGGGTGGGAAGCTCGATCATACGTGTGTCGGCAACCGTACTTAAGTGGGGTTTGTGGCGACGCTGGTCCTTCTATGACTTGCAGGCAGGTCTAAACGTTTTTATTTTTGTTTCTAAGATGTCTTCTATTTCATTTTCGGAGGTTGCGGATCTGCAGATATCCAAGGCATGCAAAGATCGCAGCTTGATAAACTTGACGTTACTAACTTGATTTCTTATTTAGTTTGCCAATAGTAAGTGCCCTTGGTACGGCCGTGAAGGAGACAGCGACTGACTACGTTGTATCGTCAGTTGGTGCCTTCGCAATTCTCGTAAGCATCGAGTCCATTCATTGCAATACCAGCTCAATCATTGGCTCTGTTCGGCGTCTCAGATATTTGATTTCTGCGTTACATTCCAAGATGAGGTCAAGATTGAAACGATCTGCCCGTGACTGTTATTTTCATCGCTGTCTACAGGTAAAATGGACCTGGTTTAGGTCATGGGATACAACTCGTGTCATTTTTGCCATATCTCGATATGTGCCTTTCATAGGCTCTGGAATGACTGTATATGGTGAGTTACCCACTCTGATTATCCTTATCTTTTGAGTATTGTTGACGGTTATCGTAGCTGCACTGCGTGTCAGCGGGCCGGTAAGCATGCGAAAGAAATGACTTCTAACGATAAGCTGATTGCATGACGCAAAGCCGGCCCCTAGTCTGGCAGAAAACAGTAAGTCGTCACGCCCGGTGGTTAATTGACACTCAACCTGACAACGCGATCTTCAGTCATTCATATCATAAGTATCGTTGCTGCAGAAGGTGCGGGTTGCTCATATCACCCATACCGGGGACTGGGTAGATCATCTTTTTTGATAGGCTTGTTGGTTATTCGGACGTGGGCATTCTGGAAAAAGAGCAAAAGGGTGCTGATTGGATTAGTAGCTTATGGTGCGGTGCGTGTTCCACAGGGCTGGAGCAAGGGCATAGATCTTTAACTTTGCAATAGGTGACAATAATCGCCGCCGTTTCCATGAATGTCTTTCCAAATCACCAGTTGATTTCAGCAGGTGAGTTCGTTCGTATTACCAACACGTGTCGTTTGAATATAGCTATCAGATGTGTCTACTCTACCCGGGCAAGGCGGCTTCGAGTCGTCAAGAAATGCTGCATTGGTATATGCTATCCTGGCACTTTTCGAATGTGGTCAGTTACTATGTAGGGCGTATCGTCGGCCTTCTGACCCACGAGCAAAACTTGGCAGTGATACTGGCCCTCACTACGTATAAGAAATTCAGCGACTACCGGCAAATTGAGAACTCAATCATAACCACCGTTTATGGCGGTAGCATGCTTTACATGTTGTGCATCATTGGTGCGTGGAAATCATTTACTTCAAAGCTATTGTTGTGTAATTCGTTTCACAAAGCCATCACGGTCACCAATGTGATTATTGACGCAGTATTTCCGGTGTGTGTGCATGCCAATTAAACCCCAATCATTTATTGACTTAATTTCTGTTGCTTGGCTGCAGCTTGGCTACACAAACATGTTTGATACGTATGTCACTGGTTGAACTACGACTGCCGACTACGAACTCACTGCATTTAGGTTACAACTTGTCATTCACAGCGTCCTAGGCTCACGAATTATGTTCCACCTTCGGAGTAGTCATGATCATACCTACGAGATGCACCCACCATCGATGTCGATGGTGTCAGAAGTTATACAGTATGGACAACCTTGGCAAATGCAGACGAGCGAGAGAAGGAGTAATGCTAGTAGTGAAGTTTGACGGCATGCAAGCGGGCTTAGATTGTCGTCAAGATTGGACACGCCTTTGTTAAAGCCCACTTAAAATAAAACGTTCATTACAGCTACGAATGTATTTGAATAAGTTCAAAGACTATATATAACTTGCACGGCCCGCAAATGAACGGAAGCAATTCGCCTTCCACCGGATCCGGCCGAAACAATTACTGTTGCATGATGTTGTACGGCACACTCTCATGACATTCCCCTTCTCTTTTGTCCTGCATGACAGCCGAAACAAAGGGAGTGAAACACTCGTATCACTGCATCAAGTTCTACCGCAGAATTGCAACCTTGCTTAAGTAGGCTGAAGTACAATATGAACGGTCAAGTTGACCGCGATCCTCTTCTGCTCTCAATCCACGATGAACTACCAGATTCACCATCCATGTCATATCAACGTCCTCCCAGTTGAGATACTATCATACATATTCACCCTGGCTACCCATGACGTCGTATCCACTAACAATGACTACAAACGAAGATATGAGGTCCCCTTCAATCCCGAAAGTGTCACAATGCCAACTGTACTCGCGTCTGTACACCGCCACTGGAGAAATATCGCACTGTCCACCTCGACGCTGTGGTCAAGCCTCGTAATGAGTCTTGGGCAGGTTGTTCGTGTCAAAGCTGGAACAAATGTGGATGATGAACACGCATATACTACTTTCCTTGATGTGCAGCGCTTGGCCGCTCATATCGCGCGGTCACGAAACTCTTCGGTAGACATCCTTATTGACACTCGAGATCCAGAATGGGACTTTGAAGAGGATGAGTAAGTCATGCTTTGTTTGAACGTCACATCGGTCCCAATATCTTCGCGCTCAGGGAAGAATGTTCAACTCACAATGCGACGTGCTTCCCATATGCCACTTTCATCCCTCAAATCCTCGACCTTCTGTTCCCGCAGATGCATAGGTGGCGTTCGCTTACTGTCCTCAGCGATACGTGGGCACCTCTTCGTGTCGCTCTTGAACGTCTCAGTATGCCCACTCTGACAAAGGGCTCGGGTGCTCCGCACCTTGAGTCTTTAATCCTCATGCGATGCAACGAATTTTTAGGTCACTTGGACACCTTCTCTCCACACTCCCAACATATGTTCGATGGGATACCATTCGCCGCTTTAACGGCCGCGCCTCACCATGATCTCTCTGCACAATCTCACCCCCTTCCGAAGCTCCGAAACCTAACTCTTGTCGGTGTCCACATGAACTGGATGCATTTTTCTCGTTATACTCTTGGCGCAGCCCTTAATAAAAGCTGCATTCAGTCGTTGGAGCTTTCGCAGCACTGCCGTGAAGTTAGGCCGACATTTGATGAGTTTACAGGAATTATTAAGGCTTGTCCTCTCCTGAGAAAACTCGTGATCAGGGTCTCTGGGCCAAGATTTGATGCGGGGGTTCAACGCAGCGATCGTCCGGTCTCGCTTCCCCTGCTTGAAGAGATTCACCTGGGGTATACCAATGTCGAAGATGCTGCCATGCTTCTCAGTCACATCCATGCCCCTAATCTCATCATACTTTCCATCGAGGATGCCAATCACATCGTCAGTCCTGATGACGAGGACTCTGGCCCTCTCCTGACTTATCTCGCAACCGGTTTCCTTGATTTATGTGGCGTCTCCACAGATGGCTCCAGTCATGGACCGTACAGCTACTACTCGGCCAAAGATTCCGTTGCCAGGACGATCAAGACGCCATTTCCACACCTGGAGCGATTATCGCTCAACAGTGTCATTGCATGCATGATTCCGTTCAGTTTCCTGATTGCTGCCATTCCGAAACTGCGTCACCTGTCGCTATGTCGCACCCCAAATGCGCTCGCAGCTTTGTTGCCCATCCAGACTCCTTTTGCAGACGCCTGTACCCGCATCATACCTTGCCGTGCCCTTGAGTCGATCGAAATATTTTGCGCTGAAGAACAGACAAAACACATTCTCGATTTCGTGTTGCGGGAACGCGAGCAGAGTGGTGCACCACGTGTTTGTAACATCAACATACACCTTGAGGTGTGCTCCGCGGATGCCAGTGAGATCGGAGGGTACCAAGCTGTAGAAGATGATGTGGTTGGGAATCTGATCACGTATGGGGAGTGTGTGTCAGATGAGGAAGATCCGTTTGCGCCTGGAGGTGTCTTCAATGATCCCGATTTTGATGAAGCATATCTTTCTTATCGTAAGCATTGCTTTCTGTGTATACTGTACAGCCCTTGGATCTATATTACTTGTGGCACGTGTAATGCGTCGCATAATGTGATTAACCTTGGTGTGAGCGTTAACAATCCATTCACACTTATTTATGCTCTGGGTGCTAGATTTGATGATATCCGGCCGCAGTGCGTACTTAATACGTCAAGACATATCTATGGCCGCATGTCAACATGTCACGCACGAAGGCTTCTCGTATTACACAGATCGCAAGTCAGATACTCACCACTCGAGGAAACCAAGAAACACGCACGGGCTCAACATCCTTGATGTCGGGTATCTTTACCGATGTCATTCGTGTGCGGGGCCTCATGATCAGGCAAGCCCGAAGCATTCGACAAATAACGCAGCCCGGGCGCAGAGTGAAATAGGAGGCCTAAAATGTTTTGCAGGAAATGAACTGTAGAAACGGAATTCACCGATCGAGATTATGCTTCGTCAATGATCATGTGACCAGCGGGTATGTCCATATGAATCAGTGCGCGATTATAGCGCGTGTCACACATGAGAAACTGCAATGAATCATTTCCATTCAATTGAAAGGACGTGTTGGATTTCATCCAGGGTTCAATGAGTCATAAACTTGGAGTAAGTTAACGTTATCCCACAAGCACGTCACAATACAATACGATGACGATTTGTTAACGTACTTTTTTCAAGAGCCGGACTTACGAGACCTTGGGTGGCGTGTAGTCGGGACGTTTCGGAACATCGAAAACGAATATTGTCAAAAGAATTGCGTGATACATACATAGGACAAGTCGTCGGAGATCATCGTCCGTGACATCTCCGAACGATGATGTGACTCGAATTTGCGCCCAATAAGCATGAAAACGAGAGTGTTGCTCTCCTGGTTGCGATCAGGATTGAGAAGTCCGTGATTTGTCGCGCTCGCTCAAAATATACTAGGTGGGGCGCAAAGCTAAATAGAGACTCCGCGTGAATCTTATTTCTTAGGTTTTCAAACTCAGCTAGGATGTAACAACGCTACGTCAAGACTTCTATTGGTCTGACTACTTGAAGACAAGCGTCTGATAGGCTATTTGGCAGCATGATCATGCACTATTGAGAAGGCTGAATGAATCCAGATGACTAGGGTACCAAGATTATCAGGCCGTATGAATTCAGGGTGCCACAAGGAACTACGTGCATGCCTTCAAGAAGGGGCTGCAGATTGAAAGCGCAGGGAGTATCCTCCCAACGTATAGGACATTTCGACCGATGGGCGGTAAAAGTCAAAATTTATGATGACGTAGATTTACCTTGCAGGCACTGACTTTCACAGCATGTTGTTTTCAACCCTTTCAAAGGGTCGCAAGAACTATGCTTGATTAAGGGAAATCGGGCCATCGCATCAGCTTGACGTGTCCATCACTTAACCCCTTTGCTGTTACCTCGTGTGTTGCTTTTAACGGCATTGAAGGCTCGTGGCGCCCATCATATGACGTTGCAACGCCTCGCCTCTGGATGCTGTGAGCACCCATCGACTCGGAAGTCGCAGGATGCGTGTAATTCGGCCCATCATCCGGGTATGTTTCGGTCTCTCGACTTTGCTCTCTTTGGTGTTGCATGAGTTCATGATGAATCGGTTCATTGTTGAGATACCGCGCTGTTCACGATGGGTATATCTTCAACCTGATGTCGTTAGCGTTAATTTCTTTGTAACCATACACCCCAGATTTACGTTAGACGACACGTCGAAGCCTGTCGAAGGATGTGTTAATGGTTCAGGTTCGTAGGACATTTATTGAGCGCTTTTAGCGTGGCGGGTCAAGGATGACGCTGTATCAGCCAATGAACGTTAACGATGATGGCCTACCAACGTAACATTATGAAAGAACTTTAAAATGATGTGTTAGCTCCAGACCTGACTCGAGTTATGCTGTGTGCCAGAAGCAGAGCACCCTGAGACAAAGTTCAAATCGGGCAACGTTATAGCGTCCCTTACCTCGGGTGTTATTACCTCTCGGACGTGGTCCTTGATAATTTCAGGCAGGGGGGATACCTCAGAACAGAAAGGTGGGGATTTTACAACACCTTGACAGCACCCGTTGGAACTTTGGGTAGAACACATGTCCGCGGAGTTGTACAGTAGCGCTGAGTTGCCTGGAGTACTGAGGACTCGGGTGCCTCAGACTTGTCAGATGTTCCTCGTAGTAATTTTGCACAGCGGTGTAATGTTGACAGTGGTACATGTGGCTTTTTCAATCTGCCCTGTTTAGCTGTGTTAAATTTTAATGATGGTTACTGGTCAGCAGGAGGATTGAACTTTGCACCTGTAGGATGAATGATGTCGATCTTCACTTCATGATGCGATCTGTAGAAACATCGAGACCCTGACCCTACTCGGTCCGGATGAACAACAAATGTACAAAAGTGATTGGACGTCCCCAGGAACAGACCGGGGGCCACGATTTCCCGATATGGTAGGTATAGTTAACTGCCGATACGGGCCGGCCATGGGAAGGATCATGGGGCAACAAAGTCCGTTGAACTTGTTCTGATACTTATTCCAGGCAGTCTAGTCATTGAATTCACTTCTTCAACTCTCATCTTTAAAAAAATGTCTCCAGCTCAAGAGGAGCAAGAAAAGGCTTCGACATCCATCCTGAAGGAGAGACGATTCAAGTTGAGTAGGTCAGTCGTGCTCTCAGTCTTTCAGTGTACCGATTCACTCACCTCGGGTTATCTCTCAGAGCGTGTGATCGCTGTCGGTGAGTGCTTACTACATCTTTTATCTGTGACCAGCCATCGCTGACGATATTTCAGTCGAAGGAGAATCAAGTGTGATGAGGGTCATCCGTGTCAAGCTTGTCTCACCGCTAATTCACCATGTACGTTTGAAGAACCAGGAAAGCGAACACATCCTCATAAGTCAAAGTTCGTGGGGTATACATCTTGTCCCTGATACAAATACTCATTATCGGCTTGCAGAAGAACTGCGACGCTAGAAGATAGGATGCATCACCTCGAGACTCTCATTCAAGCGATCCCTCCTGCAGTTTTCGCTGCCGGAGGTGCGGGCGCATCTGCACTCACCTCCTCCCAATTGCTATCTTCAGATAACATCGCCAGCCCTTTGGCGTCCTTCGCCTCGGCAAACCACAACTTTCCCTCGGGCGTCCCACCCCCATCTTTGCACGTTTTCCCACTTACCAATCCGTCTACCCACTTCAGAGCATCTCCGCCCATGAACTCTCCGCGAGCTCAAAGTCCGAACACTGCATTTTCCTCGATGCTTGGTCAGTCATCTCATACCCCAAATGCATCAAATTGCGAACAACCGGAAGAGACATCACGCATGTTTATATCGGCTTCCTATCTGTACTTCGATGATGAAGGCTACACTCGTTGGCAAGGAGAGACTTCTGGTCTTCCTCTATTAGACCTTTTGGTCGAAAATCACACTCCAGTCAAGTCTGAAGCTGAGAAGGGCTCACCAGATCCAGCATGGGCAAATCCATCTTCTCATACCTCCAACCCAACTTGGTTTCCCAACAGGACACCCAGACGCACCGACGTCAATCCTGAAACATTATGGCGCCTTATCACTTCGTATATAGTTCCAGAACTTATGGACAGGTAGATTTTCTATCTTTACTTTTTAATCTCGCTTGTACTGATATTGCATCATCAGTCTAGTTCAATGCTATTTATGTACTTCTTATTACCTGCTGCCTTTCCTACATGTTCCGACATTTTTGGCGGTGCGTGACATTCACATAGTATGCTTCCCGTGCTCACACGAATCACAATCTCAGGACTATGGCAATCCCAGAAAGTGGGGTGAGCCCGGGTTTGCGGCCTTTATCGTAGCTATATGCTGCCTTGCTTCCCGTCACATCGATGACCCGAGAGTACGGTCGGATCCCAGTGATGGCATCTCTGCCGGCACCCAGTGGTTCGAATTGTTTGGACGGCTACGTACTCTTCCAATCGCGGACCATCCTACATTGTACACTATCCAGGCCGATCTAATCGCCGCGGTTTACGCTGTTGGGCTGGGAAAACTCTCAAAAGCAGCAGCACTCTTATCAGAGGCTATCACTGTGTCGATCGATACTGGCCTGCATCGATCGGCCGACACCTATGACCTCTTTAATCCCATCGAGGACGAAGTCCGTAAGCGTACATTCTGGTGCGTATACCTATGGGACAAACAACTGTCTGCCCACTTTGGCCGTCCCCCAATGATTCGCCTTCGGGACACCGACATTGGAGAGCCTACCGTTGTAGATGACGAGTTCATCACGCATGATGGGATACTCTCGCAGCCCGCAGGAACGGAGAGCCGTATGAGTGCATTTATCGCCTCCGTGAGGATCATGGTTGTAATGGAGTCGGTGTTGGACATACCGCCTTCACGCGACCGGACAGGTGATTCTTCTCCATTCTTGTTACGCGCCGCAGGCGTGTTGTCTGGTCATGTACGTCCGAAGGACCTACGCGAAGAGGAGGCATTGCTGGACGAAATTCGCCGATCAATACCTCCGTATTGGGCGCATACGTCGGCAACATTGGCGAGTGATGATGTGATTAGGGTCACCCAGGCCGTGCGTTTGCACTGCGCTGAGCAGTATGTCAGGATGTTGATCCATCGACATCGCTTCTCAACTTTTGTGGCGGAGAGGGCATATAGTGCATTAATGGAGGAGGATCCCGTGGATGTAGAGAAGGAGGAGATGAGTGCCGCGCAGTCGTGTGCGCTGCAGATCATCTCGTCGCACATGCAGGTAGCGGGGAAGGGGTTGATGACGTATTGTAAGTGTTCTAATTATGGATCTTGTCTTGCATTGGTTAATCATTTGTGTCAGATGGTGTGCATGTCATTCACCAGCTCACGCAAGCAGGAAGGACGCTTATCACCATATTGATTAACTGCAAGAGCGAAAAACTTCAACGCTTGATTCAGCCTGCGCTTGAAGCGCTTCGATCGTGTGTTGGGTTATTAAGGCGATTCAGTGGGCGATACGTGTGTGGACAGAGATCAGGGGATCTCATGGAAGAATTTTGTCGCTGTAAGTTCCTTGTCCCTGATGTCAGTGGATCCCCTTGGCTAATGCATGTGACTAAGTGACTCAAATTCCTCTGGAGCCTTCTCGCCCAGAAGGTCAGGAACAGTCAAGTTCGCGTCCCCCCTGGATAAGACCCATCCGAAAGAAGACGCCCAGCGTTGCTGCCAAGGGTGCAGGCAGTGACGGTGGATCTCAACATAGTAGTCCTGAGGCTTTTTCGCCCTCCGACTTCTTCGTAGACCCTACCCTTGGAGCCACAAGCCCACAAACGATACCGCAGAGCGCTTTTTCGCCTGCACCTGTGCCACCATCATCACGATATCCACGGCGGTTGTCGCTTTCGGCACCGAGTTTTATGGAACCAGGTGGCATGGATATGGATGCGTCTGCGGGGATGTATTTGTCGTCACCGGCAGATATGATGAATATGTTCGGGGACGGGTCGGTGGATGTTGCGACGCTTTTCTCGGGCGCGTCTGATTTCAATATGGGTCAACATCTTGCTGACCCACATGATCCGTTGTACGGGCACATGAATGGGGGGAATAATTTAATCGCGTCCCCTTGAAGCGGTCGCATTGTCTTACGTAGTGGAGCTGTATGATTTATTGCAGGCTTTTCTATTACTGTATTCTCGTTACTGTTTCCCCGTATTACACCCCTTTCGCAAGACATCGATACTTGCTCGATGGCTTGGGAAAGTTAGAAGAGCAGTATTGAGTAATTCCAAGTCTCCTAGAGAGACGCGATCACGTGCCAGTGAAAGAAAGGACCGCGCCCATTCGAAACAACATTAAAGACATTACTCACTCTTGTCCCTTCAATCTGAATTTCTGGCTGAAATCCGCTGTGGCCAATTCGACTGGCGACTTGGCGATCCGTGCCCCGGGAATGCACAAGCGCATACGGTTCATTCTTGCGGCGTTCAATCTCTTGTACTCCGCCGCCGCCGAACTTGTTTCGAGGAATTCCAGTTATTCTCTGCATGGTGCGAAGCGAATGCAGGGCGGTTTGCACTTACCCTTGAGCCGGAGGCTTATTCCTAAACGGATCGCGCTCAATGCGGACACCGGCGTAGCGGGACTTGGGGATTTTTTTGATGTGTGAGTCTACAGGCAAGACTCTTTTTCTTGACTGACGCTCCGCCAGGACGTATAGTGTCCTTATAGACATCGGCGGCACAACATTGCCTGTTGTCCTAGGTGAGCCTTTAGATTTATAGCAGGGGCATTGCATCTGAGGGTGAGGAGCGCACAAGATACGGGTTCCTCGGACTTGTGGGTACTGTCCAACACATGCCAGGGAACATGCTCCTCAGCAAATACGACTCTTTACCCACCGAACACGTTCCATGATATGGGCCTGGATGCAACCATAGTGTACGGCGATTCGAAGACTGGCACGTATGCGAGAGGGATTATCGGATATGACGCGGTGTCGCTGGCGGGTCTTACTTTGCAAGATCAGTATTTCGCAGCGATCAATGATACCAATACGTCCGTGGTTCAGACCAGGTGCTCTGGGATCTTCGGACTCGGTTTTCCTCTCAACAGGTGAGCGACTTCCCTGAGACAAGATACGCGCCGTACTGATAGTCTGGAGTGTGATCTGGACCGATATGTTCCTGAACCAACGTCAGGTTTCGAGACGACGAAGTCTTCGTCGTGATACAGTTTCGCGTATCACTGCCATGCGTAGAAATTACGTAAATCGCTGGTTTAACGAGTCCATTCTCGGAATTTTCTCGTCTCGACATACCGATCCTCCCTCTTACCAATCTATGCCTCAGCAGAAACGTCGGACGACGACCTCGTCCGCTATCATTTCTTCTTTCGGAGTATCCGGTCCGTTTATCCCTCGCCTTGCTTCGCTCGGAGGGCTTGCCTCACCCATGTTCGCGATTGCGCTGCAGCGAGATACAATCGAAATTGGGGGGAACGAAGGCATGCTCTCGATAGGTGGACTGCCGCCTGGGGTCCAAAACGAAAGCCTGACATGGGTTCCTGTGCGTAAATATACGCTTCAACAAGACGGCCTGACACAAGATACCTCCCTCGAGGTACGTTCCACCTCGGAGTATTGTCCATCAAGCAGTTAATCCGCCCGCCCAAGGCATATCCCATTGCTTGGGAGATCCCAGTAGACGATGTCTTTCTTGACGGCGTGAAACTTCCGCGGTCACAGTTATCTTCTAGTAATATCTCGCTGTCAGCGCTGATTGACACAGTTCGTCATCCAGAGTCCACTAACTCTCACCTAATTTCCGGTTCTAACACCTCTTTGCAGGGCAATTCTTTAATTCGTGGTCCACCTGACGTCATTTCGTACATCCAGAACATGCTGGGGGGACCTCACTTTGCCTGTTCTATCTCTCATACACTGGCATTCCAGATTGGTGGTCGCATGTTCCCTGTCGACCCAAGAGACTTCATCAACCAGGTGCGCTCGGGAAACGCACAGGTGTGTGGGGCGAATCTTGCACAAACTGATGTGCCTGTTCTCGGTGGGGGTGGATACCTGTACAGCTGGAGTCTAGGGGATCCGTTTCTGAAAGGGTGAGTTGCAGTCATATATGTATTTGCTTGCAGCTGTGGATATAGAGCGGACGGATACATACGGAGTTCCTCTGAGTCGGGTATTCCAAGCGAGTTATGTCTGGAGCTCCGGCTCACCGTGGTGACCCACTGAAAATATGGGGCGGAGACCCGTCTGTTTATTTCTTACTCCTTCGGCTGTCTTTTAGGTTTGTTGTCCCAGACCACTCATTTCTTGCTAGCGTACTCGCAGCGTTCTATTACGGCTCTTTCACAGAACTTTCGCAAGACCCTCCGCGTATCGGGCTCCTATCTACCGTTCCTTCTGATGCCGGCCAACGCTTAGAGGATGCTATCTCAGCAGCATCTGAAGAACAGTACGATCTTCCTGGTTAGTTCTCGATACATTCTATCTTGGTAGACGGTTCTATCATTCTCTTGCAGGAACGCAGATGTTGCCGCCGTCTTCCCTTTCTTCTCAACTGAGCACCGGAATTGGTGGGGTCCCTCTGGCAACTCCTCTTCCCGGATCTGTTCATGATGTAGGCGGGAGAACCCAAGCTGGGCAGGCAAATGGTGCACGAAGGGGCATGCAGGTGGGCTCTGCCGCTACGTTGTGGTGTTCATTTTTCACTTTAGCGATGTGGACATTTTCAAGAATGTTCGCATGAACGTCATGTTTAATCTGTATCAGCGATTCGCATTCTCAAGTCTTTGGCATTTGTATCATGTACCTTGCATTCGATATATTGTAGCCTATCTACCCGCATACGATTCTCATTTCTATTGCCTGATTATCGCAAAAATGACAGCCGCAAACTATCTCAGCGTGTGGCAGATCTATTTCCTTTCCTTTCCTGCAACTCTAACGAGTGCTCTTGTCGGTTCTAGTTTCAAGAACTAATATGTTTTCATAAATAATAGTAAGTACGTACATAGAGCCCTTGGGGAAGGTGCTTGTGTAGCTTAGTCAGCAACGTAGAAGCAGGCTTGCTCCTGGTCTGGACTCTGTACGTTACGGTACTGTACGTATACTGCCAGTCTATTGTAGCATGCCAGTGGGAGAGTTTGGTTTCGTTCCAACTTTCGCCGTGATGCTTATTTGGGTTATTTTGGCGTTTAGGTGATAGCCCAGAACGTTGCAAGTTTACTTCAAGTCGAAGCTTGACAGTCGTTCAGCAGTTTTTTTTCGTTCTTCAGTCACATCTATCACTAATGCACAGATCTACGACCAATGTATCCTTCAGCTGAACACTGCGCTAATAGCCTAATGGAAGGATTCCACGACTGTCTTCCTGCCATTGGTTTACCTAGGTGGGACTAAACTTGTGACAAACTCGCTTCATTAGACAGGCTGGTCACGAGTCTCAAAGGAGACTACTTGCTCCACATACGCCATTCGTGCGACAGTTTGTACTTACCTTGGACTAGCAACTCCTTTTTTATTACGCCTGCGGTCGGCCGCATTGATACCCCTGAATCGATGCTTGAGCTTCTCGAAGTCACCGCCAAGACTGTTTCATCACCCACAGCAAGTTCTGGCATGTTCGTACATTTCTAGTATATTACGGACATTTCTGGGAGATGTGGGAAATGTATGCCAGCCTCTCAAGCGGACTGCCGAGGAACCGATTAACGACCGTTCGTCATGTGGTCTGGAATTCTGTCGAAGTTGCTAAAGATCCGGCAGGGTCGCGACCAAAATGTTCCTGGTGTGTCCGATCCGATCCAGCCAGTGGCCGAAGGAGAACACGACTAGAGTGAGTGGCAAGTGCCTCGATGCAGGGCTACACTACGCGAGAGGACGACAGCTCACAGGGGATTGGTGTTGACATGGACACGAAAATCTGCATAGCCTATGTATCGTCAAGTCAACCCCGAGTGGAGAATGGTTAATTCACAGATCATGAAAATAAGGCAGCAACGTGGGTCCACAGATCAAAATCAAACGTTTGAACACGTAGACAATAAGGAGCACGAGAGAGCTCGCCCGGTGGCTTAATGAGTGTTAGAGTTACTACAATGTGGGTACTTGATTGATACCGTTTTACTAATCTCTCTCCTGGTTGAGTGTAGCCTCCCCTGAGCCCCCTCTGACATAAATGATTCTTCTGATCGACAGAGGCCTCCGACCTCCACCTAACGTTATAACACGACTGATCACCCAATTCTCATCGTCATGCTAGCCACGATAACAACAACAAAAAACCCCAACCTCAATAACACTAAATACGGCCCCATCTCCCAACAACACAAGACAAATTCCACAAAAGTGCGTTAAGCAACTAAGGTAAAATACAAAATCACGGCGTAGCGAAAAAAGCCATGCAATGATATAATCTAGCGAGCGCAGAAAAATCAAAGATCAACAACTGACAGTACTTCCGCTCCATGATATCTCCAGGATAGATCTATGCGTGGTATCGCACACATGGTCCCTCCAAGCAACAAATCCACATCCATATTCAGATATTTTGATCATTACAACGATCCACGCTTCCAATCGACCAAGTTTTTCAGTTGCTCGAGGGTTAGGAAAATGAGGATTGTGGTGGGCTGGAGACGCGACCATGCGGGGAGCCAGCCTTTGAACATGAACATCGGGCCTTCAGTCGCTAGAGAGGAGCGGATCACTCCAAGCGTTGACTTTAAGTGTCTTAGTGTTACACGTGGACGATTAATCGCAAAGAAATGAGACTCACGCTTGATCCGGGCCCAGATGCGTTCATAATACGGCTTTTTAGCACGTCCGCGGGTGAGCAAATGGTTGTTGCAACCGTTCCCTGAAAATGAATTTGAGGCGAAATTGTAGGAAATAAGCAGAAGCGGAACGTACTGCTGCGAAACTGGCTGTGAAATGACAAGCGATGTTGTCATCGAAGTATTTTGTCTTCAGGAGCTCAGCCTTGAAGAAGTCGTACCTGAATACACATTAGACATGACATGGGTAAGGCGATGAGAGGGCGACTTGCGAAGCCAGTTGACTGGAGTTCATCAAGATGCTCCGGAAGACATTTGGGCCCACACCTCGCGCAAGCGATGATGGGCCCTCCTCGCGGACCATCTGCAATCATGACGTCAGTACCTCGGACTCGGAATAAACACGATCGGATGTCAGGGATAATCTAAAACAGAACGAAAGTGGATATGCAAAGGTAAGCAGAGGAAAGAAGTAGCATAACATGGTCTTCTATTGATAAGTTGCACACTGCGGTTCCAAATTGGTATTCGCCAGCCTCCTTCGAGGGATCAGCAAATTGATGACGTCGAAAAGCTAATGAGGCATATAAACCCATAAATCCATGTGCCCATCCGTGATGCATTGTGACCTGGCCATCGATACAGCGCGCTTTCTGTATACCATGGCGCAGGGTCGTCGCGTACAAATCAGAAGCGAAAGATTGACATGAGCAAGCGTGCGAGCGCGGGTGGATGCTCGGCACAACAATAATACCATAAGGTTGCACAAGGAGTGACGAAAATTGCGGAGTAGGCAGGGTAGGAGATAGAACGGCGCATGGGAGTATAAAGATGAGCAAGCGAGGCAGAATACACTCTTTCGCGTTTCCATCCTCCCGTCACTGCTACGTGGTCAGGTCAAATTCGTATGACCTTGTGTATCTGAACTCGCGCAGTGACGCCCCACGATAATACTGTCCTTGGGACAAAGTCGACACTAACACGAACACTTATGACCAAGATGAAGAAACAACAAACACGGAACCGCACAGGGCACGTCTAAACCTAGGCATGACACTTACTCTGAATAATGCGTCAAAGCAGTGCTTATAGTTAAACCGCTTTTCGGGTGGTTTTGCGAAGTCTCCTTGCAGACGGACCTGATAAATATGGCGCGATTTGAATAACAGGGGGGCGAGGACGTTCCGGGCGGGAGCGGAAATCATGGTTCGATATTGGAATAGTCACGTAATGGAGAGCAGATGTGAGCACAAGGCAAGGTAGTAGAGCACGACACACACCATAACGACCTCTGATCAAGCAAAATCGCTGCTCAGCGTACGAGGTCACAATATATGTCATCAACACTTACCGCCGGGATTGCCCACGACACCCGCGATGGAGCCAGCTAACTCGGTTCTCAATAATATCGATCGTACGATATAAGATTTCGTACTCACCCATGACACCTGCTGTGGCGAGAACCCATGCAGGGCTTTGGGGTGTCGCTCCCAAGAGCTTCTTGCTCTCATCATACGCCCAAAAGCGACACAAGCTGTAGCTCATCTGGCGCATCCATGTTCCAGTGATACCATCGAAAAGTCCCCGGGCGCCGGCAGTGCGGACAGTCTTCTTTATGGAATCTATCATACCCTTGTCACCCGACGCCTGAAGGCGGACCTTGGTAAGGTCAAGAGGGTGGGTGATGGAAGCAGCAATTGTTGCTGCAAGACCACCGAGGTAGAAGGGGTAGGGCTGCTTCTTGGGCTTCGAGACCACAAGAGGTGTCGAAGGAGGTGCTACAGCTTGTACGGACATGGTGGTTTGTGAGAGAGGATGTTGGGTTCAATTGGAGTGAACCGGGCGTAACTAGTTCTTCCGATTTGAAGGACTATCAATAGGGGAATATTCGCTGACTAAGCTTCAATACTCATGTGACCATCGCCAGGCATTCCTGTCGAGCTGCCCCTTCTTTAACTCGATCATCTAGACATTCAAATGCTTTACAATGATCTTCAAGGCTTCACAGTCTGCTTATCGTAGGCGCTCTGTTGTTATTACAGAACCCTGCAAGACCCTTGGCTTCGACGTTCAACTGCTGTTGCCACATTGCAAATCGTGTGATTGTTCTTCCCCTTCTATACCGTCCCGTCATCTTCCGGCTCATAATTCGACTTTATTACGGCTCTCCGCATTTTCCTTCATCTTTTGGCCACCATCGATAGCATAAAATTCTAAGCTATCTTTGATCCTCTCTTCCTTGCCCCCCGTCTATTGAGATAATCTCTTCCATCTTGAGCCTATAATCATATTTGTCACAGTACGCTCTGCCTTCTTCTATCCAGAGCTAGCTCTATGATATTGAACCGTGGGTTTGAGTCTTTGAGAACGGCGCGCGACGAGGTACCAAAGCTCACGCACACTCTTGCGTGTACGGTGCGATTATTGCGGCTCACGGTGCGTGCGATCCCTGGTGCGCATAGCAAGTGAGGGAAGGCTCTATTGTCATTCGGTATGTTTTGCAAGTGGTATGAGACAATTCACTCGATCGTAGCAATTAATTTCACCTTACCGTCAATCTTGGACGTGTCGGTACGAAATCTACCCACATTCTCAACATCGGCCTCGAACTCTCACGCCGTGAGTCCCATTGCAGTCGTTTTGGACTCTTGACCTTCGGTCAGGTGCCATTTGTTCCCTGTGCTTGCCCTTGGCGT